TGTGAGTGTTTACGTGATGTCAAAGTGCCACAAGGATACTCCTCAAATGTTAAGAGTCTTGTGTCTATGCAAGAGTTGAAATTAGTTGGTTTAAAGTCTCATGATTGTCATGTGTTGATGCAACAACTTTTACCAGTGGATATTCGAAACATCTTACCAACTTCTATTAGAATTGCTATTACTCGGTTATGTTTGTTTTTCAACGCCATTTGTAAAAAGGTAATTGATCCAAAAAAGTTTGATGAATTAGAAAATGAAGCAATTGTAATAGTGTGCCGAGTTAGAAATGTATTTTCCCCCTTCATTTTTTGATATCATGGTGCATTTGATAGTCCATTTGGTAAGGGAAATTCGGTTATGTGGTCCAATTTTTCTTAGATGGATGTATCCTGTTGAGAGATACATGAAGATCTTAAAAGGATATGTGAAGAATCGAGTACGAGCCGAAGCTTCTATTGTGGAAAGGTACATTGCAAAAGAAGCCATTGAGTTTTGTTTAGGATACATGTCAAAATCGGAACCAATAGGTATTCCTAAGATGAGACATGATGGAAGATGTGAAGGTAAGGGTACTCGAAATTTAAAGATTAAAAATGTTAGTCGGAAAGAAGTTGACCAAGCACATTTATACATATTGAACAACATCGATGAAGTAATCCCTTACATATCACAACACATAACCGAAATAAAGGCAACACATCCACGAATGAATGAAAAATGGGTATTGAATGAACATAACAAAAGTTTCCTTTCTTGGTTTAAAAAAGGGTATATGTTGAGATTAATGTTTCAGAAACACTTTTGAGACTTTCTCGTGGGCCTAATAGTGATGTCATTACATTTGGTGGGTATGACATTAATAATTATTGTTTCTACTCAAAAATAGAAGATGATAAAGGTAGAGTACAAAATAGTGGGGTCACAATTCAAGCTAAATCTATGCATTTTTCTAGTTCTAAAGACAAAAATCCTATCACAGCTTCTATGAGTTATTTTGGGGTCATACAAGAGATATGGGAAATTGATTATGTTACTTTTAGGGTGTCTGTCTTCAAGTGTAAATGGGTTGAAGGGAATACGGGTGTGTGAACAGATGACCTAGGATTTACTTTGGTTGATTTGAGTAAAGTTAGGTATAAGGATGAACCTTTTATTTTGGCATATCAAGCGAGACAAATATTTTATGTCAAGGATCCATGTAATGAGAGATGGTCAATTGTCCTTGAAGGAAGAAGCATGCACGGAATTCATGAAGATGAGTCTCTAGATATACATGAAACACCTTCATTTTCAAGTAGACCATTTGATGACATAGTTGACAATGAAGTTGATGACATACATGCAATTCGAAGTGATCATGATGAAGGGATATGGGAAAACATACCAACATAATAGGTGTTTATCTTCACATTTTTTAGTTCTTTTTATTCAAACTTATAAAGTATGTTGACTTCATATTGTTTTGTTTTTCAGGATATGTCGGATTCCACATCTGGTACTGGTAGTGGTAGTGGTAGTGGCAGGAGCGGAAGTGGAGGTAAAGGTAGATCTGTCACTCGGTTAAAGGGGTTGACAGAGAAGGAGGGTAGCTAGAGAGAAAACTCAAGTTGAAGTTGATCCACGTTCGGTAAGGCATCCGGCCCAAATGCTTGCTAAGTTTAAGAGCTATTTGGGACTACTAGCTCGACACCATGTTCCGATTACTACTCCATCTTGGGATGATGTAGAGGAAACCGAGAAGAACCTCATGTGGCAGGATGTTTAGGTATTTCTATATTTGTTGAATACTTTATATATCATTATTAATTGAATTTAACATTTATTGGTCATTTCACAGCAAAATTTTGATGTTCCTAACACTGAGGTGATGAGGAAGAAGATCTTATCCTCCATTGCCATTAGATGGAGGGACTTTAAGACTTTCTTGACACGGGAGTATGTATTTGGAAAGTTTCAAGATGAATCTCCCTGTCTAAAGTATCAAATTAGTGAGGAGGATTGGTTACAATTTTGTGCCAGCCGAATGGACCCCTCTTGGCAGGATAAAAGACATGTTGCCCAACAACGTCAGAGGTTGAATGATGCACCCCATGTATTGTCACGAGGAGGGTATGCATTATTGGAGCAACGTCTCATGAAAGCCAGGGAAGAGTCAGCAGAGGTTGAGTCTACTGACCTTGCATCTCCACCCCCTCGCTATGAGATGTGGAAGGCAGCCTGGACAAAATCTGATGGACAAATGACTTTTGAGTCTGCACGAATCATTTCTCAGAAAATCGTAAGTTATAATGTCAATTTGAATTGATTCCAATGTGAAAGTTAGTGTATGACTTAATTATTGTTGATGTGTTGTAGGATGATTTAGTTGAGCAGAGCACCCAAGGATCATTTATTCCTCATGGTCGACAAGATATATTGGCGACAACCATAGGAAAACCAGATTACTCAGGACGTGTGCGTGGTGTTGGTGGATCCCGGGGCCTTCGTGATTACTTTGGTCCAACATCACGAAGGACCACTACTCGACTCTTGCGGCCAGGAGGCCTTGCATAAAATGGAGATGCAGTTTGAAGAAAAGTTAAATCAAATAAGGCGAGTCCTTGCAGCAAGAGTTTGATGAAAAAATTGAATCTCTCGCCCGCTCTCAGCAACAGACTCAAGGAACGCCTCAAAAAATTGAACATGATGTTGTTTGAGTCAGCACTAAAGGGAGTTGTGCTGCTACTACTGCTGATCCTTCAGGAGAATATACTCAGACTGATGCATCACACCAGTGTGAGTTATATGTTGAAGATGACCCCCGCGTCTAGTGGCTATTGGTCGAGTTTTTTAGGGTGGTTTAACCATCCATGGTGTCCCTCTACAGGCAGACTGGACACGAGTAGTAGTTGATGAAGTTCATGATGCTAATGATCCAGTGCATTTTCCTAATGAAGAGATTCAATTAGTGGGACAGGCAAGCGGGACATTCTTGGCTTGGCCAAGACGTTTGGCTATGCCACTATCAGCACAGACCAAGGTAATATATATATATATATATATATATATATATATATATATATATTGTCTATTTTCTCTTTTCTAGTATTATAATTATATAAATGTTTAATTAATTGTTATCATTTGTTTAGGAGGACTTGCGTCGTGCTAAGCATAAAAAACAACCTATTATTGATGAGGATTTGACGAGAATGTGATGATGATCCCATCTCTATGTTGTTGACCATATTACCACGGTTGAGAAAGAGACCGTGTCAGATAATATGGGATGTTAGAGTGTTTGGAATTGACAATTCCGAGTGTTCCATTATACATTTCCTTGCCCAATGCTTTAGAAATTGCTTGGGGAAATTGCATGTTAAACATTTCCATCATACAATTGTGGGCAATGTAAGTCATTCTCATTTATGTTTCTAAGATTATAATAATTATATTCAACTTATAATTAATTGTTTTAGGTACATTGACAAATTTAGTGTGGAACAAAAAAATCCGATGTATACGGATTTATTGAGCCTCAATCCATCCAAAAATCGGAAATACAAAGGTTGGAATCCAACAATATATGCAAACATGGATGAGTGACTCAAAATGACATATATATTTGGCTCCATACATTGAAGGGTTAGTATTTTAATTTATATTTTTGTAACTAATTTTTATGTCATACAATGTAGGTCCCATTGACGAGTTAATTGTAATCATACCCAGGATTACACTGTGGTGTGGTTTTGTTCATTACATCGGAAATCGAGTCAAGAAATGAAAAGCTTATTACAAGGGTAACTTTATCTTTTATTCATTAATTATGTTTTTAAATTGTAAATACATATTGAATAATATATGACTTTTTTCACTTAGAATCGTGTATCGGAACTAATGTTCTAAGTGGAAAACCTAGAACAAAGACTTTGCAGTTCATTTATCCTAAGGTTAGAAACTTGTTTATATAAGTGAATACCATAATTATTGTTTGTATTTAAATTTTGAAAATAACATTATGTTTTTTTCATCATTTCAGTGTAATAAGCAAACAGACTCGTTTGAATATGGTTACTATGTGATGTATTGGATGAGAGCCATAGTTTGTGCGAGTATAATTGATTCTTGGACGGAGGTAATTGCTTTTAAAATTAGTTAAGTTTATTTAACTTTATTCATGTTGCAAGTTTACAAGAGTCAAATTAATGTTTTAGGTATTTCAAGATCCATCTCCATTACCAGAATATGATATTACACAAATTAGAGAACAATGGGCAAAATTTTTTGTTCAACAATTCTAGTACATAATTTTTTAAGTTCTTGTTCATATTATATTGTGTGTATTATGTAGTTTAGGTAGCTTAGTTTGTATTAACTTTTAGTTTGTAATAAATTTTTTAGTTTGTATGTTTGTATTATATTATTTTATTATGTAGTTTGAATTATATAATATTATATTTTTAATTTACTAGCTAAAGAAAATTGAACCTCTGGATAGTCTGGTTGTAATATATATTTGCAGGTTTTAGTTGTAAAACAGAATCAACCCAATTTAAAAAAAAAATAGCAAATTTACGTCGCATATTGGTATATGTGACGTAAATTTACATCGCATATACCATATGCGACGTAAATTTGCTGTTTTTTTTTTTATTTCTGAAAGTTTTTACGTCTGTTTAATGGTATATGCAACGCAAAATTACGTCGGGTCTTGATAACTGACGTAAATTTACGTCGGGCTAAAGGGTCCGATGTAAATTTACGTCTCCCGTTTTAACTTTAGTCTTAAATACGACGTAAAAAGCCCTAAATACCTGACGTAAAAGCCCATTTTTGCACTAGTACAAGTTTGGTGGCTAATCATGATCTTCTGACCCCTTATCAGAAAATTTATCTTGGTGATTGTATATGTTCGGTGATTGAAATTTGGTGGCTCTGAAAAGCTTGCCTAACCACCTCCATTCCGATACAAGTGTTGTTGCTAACCTTGGTCTTCTAACCCTTTGTCAGAAAATTTATCATGGTTTTTGTATGTTGTTTGGTGATTGAAATCTGGTGGCTCCAAAAAAGCTTGTCTGACCATGTCCACTTCCAGGTTGACTTCTAGCCCACCAACGACTCCTGGTAGTGAGAGGCACATCACTAGAATATGGATCTTTAATTAGGCATTCCCTGAAGAAGGGAGCTGATGTGGAAGCCCCTAGATGGGAAGCAGCACGTTCATTCCAAAACTTGTGTATATATTCTTCATACTCCTGTTCATTTTGTACCAAGATGGAGGGGCCAATCTGGGGAACGATGCTTGGCTGCTTCAAATGTATTAGTTGAAACGTGTCTAGGAGTTGCATAAGGACGTTGGGAAGTGTAGTACCAATATAGAAGATAATGGTGATTGCTTTGATTGCTGTATTCAATTAGCAACAACGCACCCAAGTCGTTGTCGATCACAAGTGATTGCCGATCATAAAACTGTTTCTGTTTCCATAGGTCCCCATGTTGGCATCTCCTCTCCATGGTCAGAGAGGGAAATCCATGTCTGGTTACATGTTCTGCTAATATTTTGTCCCTCAGATTTTGCAGGGTAAAATTAAATATCAGGTTTAAATGTCCAAGGAGGTAACGTGATGTTTATTGTTCTGTATATCGACAATCTTATTTTTATATGAATTTAGAATTATTCAAGTGTTCACGAGCATAAGGGTGATAAATTTAAGATGATCAAACTGGGTATGGTATGATAAAGTTTTTTTTCTTAATTTGGAGGTTAAATAGGAGGAGTCAAGTCCCAAGAAGAGTTATTTAAAATGGTCAGTTGTAATTTAATCTCAATCCTCATGGAGTTAGAAACAAAACTTACAAAGTTTGATACAGGATACAAAATTAATCTAAAATAATTAAACCTTACCAGCATAAGATTCGACATGTTATTGAGTGTTGGGATTGTTCACTAAAGGAAAATAGATTTTTGATGTTTTCGTCAAACTACAAAATAGTTTACTTTAAAAAAATGCAATAGCAATTTTATAAATAATAAGAGCAACTTTTATGTCGGACCTCATAGGAATCGATGTAAAAGCCACTTTTTACGTTAAGTGGTCTCTTAACCAACATAAAAAGTGGTTTTTACATATACTCCTACAAGGTCCGACGTAAAAACTGCATTTTATTTTCACCTAAGGTTACTTCTTCCTCACACGTGTGAGGATTTTTTAGTCGATGACAGTGCAACGACCATTATAGCACCTTCAATGGTATTTTCTGACCACGGTGAGCAGTGACAACATCTATATTGTGCTTCATTTGTAGTGATTGGAATTTCTCTCCTATTATATTCGAGTTTTAGAGCATTTTGTGTGTTTTATATCTCTTCTTTTACATTCAAATTGAATCCGTGATTATTTTTTGGGATTTCAATCATAATATTGCATGAATGTCTCAACTGCATTGTTATTGAAATTGAATTGTTATTGATTATGATTATACATTTATTCATTTGAATGCACCTACATTTATACATTACATTGTTATGTTTTCACGGTTTATTTGTTTGAATCTCATGTTTTTTGTTGTTTGTATGTATTTATTTTTAATATGATAATGAGTTTGAATTTATAGGAGTGACGAAAATTTATAACATAAGTAGTTATGAACCAGAGTTGGATGAATGCACATTGTATTAGTGAAAAATCCAAAAAGGGAGTTAAGGAGTTTTTGCAATTTGTTCGTGAAAATGTATTAAGCATATTGTTTTGTTTTTTAGGATTATGTAGAATTCCACATCTGGTAGTGGCAATGGCAAAAGTGGAGGTGGAGGTAGATCTACCACACAATTGAAGGGGTTGACAACGGGTCATGTTGCTTGGGAGAGGATACAAGTTGATGTTGATTCATGGTAAGACATCTTACCCAAATGTTGTTAAGTTTAAGAGGTATTTGGGACTCCTAGCTGGACACCATGTTTCTATTATTGTTCCATCTTGGGATGATATAGAGGAGACTGAGAAGAACCTCATGTGGCAAGATATTCAAGTATTTCTAAATTTGTTAAGCATTTCATATATTAAAATTGAATTTAACATTTGTTGGTAATTTTACAAAAAAAATTTGACATTCCTAACACTGAGGTGATGAGGAAGAAGATTTTATCCTCTATTGCTACTAGATGCAGGATCTTTAAGACTTTCTTGACAAGGAAATACGTATTTGAAAAGTACCAAGATGAATCTCCTTGTCTAAAGTATCAAATTAATGAGAGGAGTGGTTACAATTTCGTGCCAGCCAATTAGACCCCTCTTGGCAAGTTAGTTCTTAGTAATTCTTACCTTAATAACACTTAATATACTATTCTAATTTTCTTATTTGTATTGCAGGATAAAAGACTAGTTGCCCAGGAACGTCAAAAGTTAAATCATGCAACTCATCTATTATCGCGAGGGCAGGGTATGTATTGTTGGAGCAACGTCTCATGAAAGTCATAGGAGTTGAGTCTGCTGACCTTGCATCTTCACCCCTCACCCCCTATTATGAGATGTGGACGACAACTCGCACAAGATCTTATAGACAAATGAGTTTTGAGTCTTCACAGATCATTGTTGAGAAAATCATAAGTTATAATGTCAATTTCAATTAATTCCTACATAATGTAGTGTATGACTTACTTATTGTTAATGTGTTACATACTAATTTAGTTGAGTAGGTCATTCAAGGATCATTTTTTCCACATGGTCGAGAAGACATATTGATGGTCATAGGAACACCAGAGCACCCAGGACGTGTGCATGGTCCTGGTGGATTTTGGGGCCTCCGTGATTGCTTTGGTCCACCATCACAAAGGATCACTGCCGACTCTTACATTCAGGAGGCCTTGCATAAAATGGAGATACAGTTTGAAGAAAAAATAAATCAGATACGACAATCCTTGCAACAAGAATTTGATGAGAAACTTGAATCTCTTGTCCGCTCTCAACAACATACTCAAGGAACATCTTATACAGTTCAAGATGATGTTGTTTGAGTCAACACTAAAAGGAGTTGTGTTGCTGCTACTACAGATCCCTCAGGGGAATATGCTCACATTGATGCAACAAAGTAATGTGAGTTATATATTAAAGATGAGCCCTCGCATCTAATGACAATTGGTCGAGTGTTTTTTTGTGGTTTAACCATCAATGGTGTCCCTCTACAGGAAGACTAGACACGAGTATTGGTTGATGAATTTCATGATGCTTATGCTCCAGTGTCTTTGCCCAATGCAAAGGTTCAACTAGTGGGACAGGCAACTAGCACATTCTTGGCTTGGCTAAGACATTTGGTGATGTTACTCTCAACACGGACAAAGGTAATGCATATATTGTGTATTTTCTCTTCTTTTCTTTTTTTCTTATATTGTATCATTTGTTTAGTAGTTTATTCATCATGGTAAACATAAGAGAGAACCTGTTATTGATGAGGACATCATAGAATCTAAGGATGATATCATATCTATGCTTTTGGATTTCCTGCCCTGATAACATCCCTCTATGTAGCTCATGGTGTGGAAGTCAGCCCAACAGTGAACGTCCGCCCACCAATCAACAGAAGATTCATCGAGCGACACTGTGTGAACCCTGCGGAAGGGGCGCCACAGCCATTGGCATAGGAGCCACCTCAGCCAAGAGGAGCCCAACAACCACCTCCACCACCCCGTAGCTAGACTATCAAAGAATGATGCAGTACATGGAGCATCTAACTTTGCAACAATCAGTGACTCATAGGGGTCAATGTAGTATTAATCAAAACTTTTATAATTTATCTTTGCAAATTGCTCTAGGTATGCAGTGGACATCGCCTTAGGTGTTTGATGCTTTGGTTCAATGGCCTAGGGACAGTCCATATTTTCCAGGAGGGGGTGAAGGTGTAGGTGCAGGTGGTGCACAGCAAGCACAACAGGGAGATCAAGGGGAAGAAGAGTCCGAAGAAGAGGAATCAGGATCTGGGTCAGAAGAGTCTAAAGAAGGGAGTGAAGAAGAGGATTGAGAGGGAGGGAAATTTAAATTTTAAGCTTTTACTTATTTTATTTTATTTTTATTTTTATTTTTATTTTAATCTTATTTTTATTTTGGTATGTTTAATTGAATCATTTGAGATTTTAAGTTGTATTTGAATTATTTTGTTTTTTTTTTGTTTGAATATCTTGAATTCTTAAGTAATGTGATGAATGATAGAATTTGTGTGATTAGATTGTTGTCCCATATAAATTGTTTAGAATCATATATGAGATTATTGTTTATTGTCCAATTCAAATCTGGAACCGAAGAAAACCATTTTGATTGTTTCCAATAACAAGTGATTTTGGGATGTTGAGTATGATAGTGAAAAAGAATTGATAAGGAGAATTAGGAATTAACTGAATTGGAGAAGCTAGCCAAAATCAGGTGAGTAGAGTACCAAAAACAGATAAATTGAGTGGTAACACTTTGTTATTGGTAACTGATATTGGTTGATTCTTTGATGTGATTGCATGTTGGCAAGACTTGAAAATGATAAAGGCAAATTTTTTCTGTGTAGTAGATATAGCCCAGAGTCAAATAGCCAACCCTGCATTAATTTTAGGACATCCATTTGAACCATTCATGAGCCAAAAATAATATTGTTTCTTAAACAGAACCCTTAAGCCTAAACACTATTTATCTACCTTCCTATATTTGAGAAAGGAAATGAGTATGAATGTCACTATTTTTCTTATTGTTGGGTATTGCTATTGTTGTCCTGTAGGTATTGTTAGGGTGTTATTCTAAAAAAAAAATTTCTAAAAAAAAAAATGTAAAAAGGGGGGAATAATAACTTATGAGGTTATTTAACTCACTGTCATTGTGTTAGGGACAAAAGCATGAAGTTTGAAACCTGACTTTAGGAATTGTTAATCAAGAATCATTCATATGAGTTAAATTTCTCAAATATTTTTTTATATCCCAGAAAAACCAATAATTCTTTCTTAGCCCACCCCATTACAAGCCTCAAAAGACCTTTTGATTTAAGTTTTGTTAAACAATTGTTGATTGCTTGAAGATGATTATCAATATTGGATTGTCTAAATGAAGTGATTGAATGAGATAAACACTTACCTGTGAGAATTAGAGATGAATATATATAACTCGATTTGAGAGATCATGCTTCTCTGAAGATAGTTGAGGACAAATTATTCTTTGTTGGTTTCTATAACTTGAATTCTTATGTGTTCTATTTTCATTTGGAGTTGTGAGCATCACCTCTGAAAATTTCTATGTTGTGGTTCTGGAAGAGAATGTGATAATAGGCGATGGTTTTGTTTTGGAAAAACTACTTTGTTTGGGACAAGCAAGATTCTAGGTTGGGGGGAGTTGTTAAGTGGTAAAAAGTTGATATAATTATATCTTGAATTGTTATGAAACCACTTAACTATTGCTAATTTCAATCTATTTTTCTCCCAATATAGAATGAATTCAAGAATACCTTGATACAAGAGTAAGGAGCATGATTGATAGAAAAGTTAGAGT